CAGCGCCGCGCAGAACTTGCGAAACAACAAACAGCCCGACATGTCGGAGTCGGCGGCCTCGGGGCCCCGTTTCCTCGCGCCAGAGCCTCAGGCCCGGCCCGCCCCGGAGCACAGGGGCTCCGCGGAGACAACTTGTTCCAGGCCCGCGCGCCACACATGCGGACACACACACACACACACACACACACACACACATCCTGCCACCGCCCCCTCCGGCAGCCTCGGCCCGGCGCACACTCAGCCAGGGCCCAGGCGCGCGCCACACTCGCAACATTCCCGGACACGCAGCCAGCACGCACGGACACACTCACACTCGCATCCCCTCCAGGCACGCTCCTCCTCACGCGTGCCCTGCACACTTGGCACCCCCCGGACCCACGCACTTCCCGGCGGTGCACACCAACCCCAGACACTCCCACACGCACACGCCGTGCACACGGCGCACCGACACACGGCCCGGACCCATTCCCACGCCCTCAAGCATGTACACAGGTCTCACGAGCACACACGCTACACGCGGGCAGCACCCACAGAACACTCCGGCCGCGCGCATAACGCACACACAAACACATTCGCAGACACAAAACAAACAGCGCTGTGGCATGCAGAAGGCAAACAGATGCAACACATTAACAGATACAACTCCGGTCACACAACCAACTCACGCACACACAACGTGCACACACCCTACCTGGCCACCCTACACCCGCCACTACACGCCGACACTCAGCGCTGCCTCGATGCACCTTCACCGGAACAGACTCGCAGTCACACAACCCACACAGCACCTCTTCTTGCACGCGTAACTCACGGACACACAACATTCGCAGGCACAAAACACCCCGAGCACACGACTGCACATCCAACATTCAGACACACACAGCGACGGAGCTGGTAACGCCCGGTCACCGAACACTCAGACTTTCTTCAGAGAGAAATACGCCACGGGCCCGAGGGCGCCGCCGGGCAAACTGGGTCGGACCGACGCGCTTACCTGCCGGAGTCTCGGTCTCGGGCGCGCAGAGCTGGAAGGTGAGCGCCAGGACAAGAGCCTGGGCGCGGGCCATGATGCGCCGCCGCCTGCCCCCGGGCCCAGCGCAGGGGGCGCGGCGGCCAGAGCCCGAGCCCAGCCGGAGGCGAGCCAGAGCCGGAGCGAAGCGGCGCAGCGCGGAGCGGGACTGGCGCCGAGTCCAGAGCGGGAGCCCAAGCAAGCGGGGCGCTGACGTCAGGCCCGCCCGTGCGTTCTGCGGTCTCGAGGCGCCCCCTGCTGGCAGCCGCGCAGGCAAGCGGCAGTTCGTCCCGGTCCCCCGTTGTCCGGGCGCGCCCCTCCTCCACTTCTGCACCCCTGCCTGCAAGTCCCTAGCCCAGGCTGGACGCCCCGTGTCTGCAGGAACCAGCCACCGACAGTCTCAGGTGAGCGTAATCACTGCCACACCTAGCTCCCGCACAGAGACAGACCCAGAGACATCAGGACTCTGTGCCATTCAATGCCTGAACCCCATCTACCTACACCCTTCAATGTGATCCAGTGCACATTTTTACTTACCTCCAAGGACAGGGAGCTCATCATCTACCAATAGTAGGTGACTGAATCTTTGGGAATTCTGGCATTTAGAGTGGCTCATAGTATCCCTGTAGTAGCCTTTTAATATCCATGAGATCTGTAGTGCTGCCCCGCTTTCATTCTTGTTATTAGTGATTTATGTCCTCTTTCTTACTAGTAGCCTTGCTAGACCCTTATTATCTTTATTGGTCTTCTAAAAGAATGAGCTTTTGACTGATTTTTCTCTCTTGATTTCCTGTTTTCAATCTCATGGATTTCTCTTTTCTCATTCTTTCTTCAATTCAGTTTCCTTTGGTTTTAATTTGCCCTATGTTTCTAGCTTCCTAAGCAGATGCTTAGATGATTGGTTTTATTTTTTTCTTCTTTCCTAACATTTGTATTCAGAGCTATAAAGGCTAAGCACTGCTTTTGCTGCATTCCACAAATTTTGATAAGTTGTGTTTTCATTTAGCTTAACAATTTTTTAAATTTTATCTTGAGAATTCTATTTTGAACCATGTGTTATTTAGAAGTGTTTTATTTAATCTCCACGTGTATGGGAATTTTCCAGCTATCTTTTTGTTTCTGATTACTACTTTCATTCCATTTTGGTCTCAAAGCAGATATTGTATGAGTTCTATTATTTTAAATATGTTAAAATGTGTTTTATGGTCCAGAGTATGGTCTATCTTGGGGTGTATTGCACTGCTTGATGAAATGATATCCATTGTACTCAACTGATTGTTAACTTCTACTATGTCCTTACTAATTTTCTGCCTGCTGGATGTTCATTTCCCTTTTTTCTAAGATTTATTTATTTATGCATACAAGAACTGGGGTACAGACCAGGTGAGAGCATTCACCAGAGACAGAGTGGGCAGCAAAACAGGCAGATTAGTGAAATACACTACTGAGGGGAGCAGCAGGAGAGATAGGAGAGGTCTGCTGTACCATGTGGGTCATCTCCCTGGCTGGGGATCAAACTCATGCTGAAGTGGCTGTGACTGGATTTGTAGTGCTGCACTTAAACCCATTGTGCCACCAAGAAGGACCTTGTTCATTTCTTTTTTCCCCACAACCATCTCATGTGTCCTCTTGTCTCTTTCCCTCCTCCTCCTCTTAACCTCAGCACTCTTCATGTATTTGTCTGGTAGTTTTTGAAAGTGTTTTACCATACAATTTCTGTTATATTAATGTCCAGTGTTTGTTTTTATCATTAAGACTTATTTGCTGTACACAATTTTGTTTTTAATTCCCTCCAATCTGATTGGAAATGGCTGAATTTCATCCTTTATTCTGACTATGTAATATTCCATGGCTTGTATGTACCACATCTTTTTTTATCCATTCATCTGCTAAAGGAGATTTAGGCTGCTTTCATGTTCTCCATATTATAAATAATGTTGCTGTGAATATTATAGCATATATAAGGGATTTTGCTGATGGTTGGATATGTCCATTTCTGACAGAGGAGTGTTGAAGTCTTCAGCTATAGTAGTAAAGTCAGATTTCTCCTTGTAATGCTGACTTTTTGAAAATTCTTCCTTTCCATGAAGACTCTGCCTCCCTCACAGATTCTCACTAGTTACTCTATCCTCTGGGTACACAGGTTCAGTATATTTGTGTCTTTTCCCAGTTTAAGCCCTTGTACAATGATCATAATCTAGTTATACATTACTTTACACAGATGGACTCATTTAATTTTCATCATTATTTTTCCCAGCACACAGTTGAGAAAGCTGGGATACAGCGAAAGAAATAGACTACTATGCACTGCTATGCAGCAGCACGCAGGTTGGAATTAAGGTCAGCTGACTTAAATTGAACAGGGCTAAGCCCTTGACTTCCATCATAAAAAAAACAACAACAACAAATATTGGATACTCATTCATTTATTCAACAATTACTATAATCCCAATAGATGTAAAACAAGCAAAAATCCCAACCCTCATGGAACTTACATTCCAGTGGAAAGACAACAACAATAAACCAAAACAATTTGCCATATCGCTATATCTCTAGTACATGAGCTAGTGACATGCCTGAAAAATGGTAGTGGATAGGGTTGAGGGAAAGGTTAAGACAATGAAAGGGAAGGGAATTAATTGTTTCCCTTTTGAACAGAGTACCTAGATATAATGTATTCATTATTTGTCTCCATCTCTAGAACATGAGCTCCCTGAAGCAAAGACTGTCTTAAATCCCAGTGTTTGATGTCTAGCATGTAGTTAGCGCTCAATAAATATTGAATGGATAAATGAATGAATATATAATCTGGCCCTTGCCTTCATGAAGCTTACGTTCTAAGGAGAGAGAACAGCAACATGCAAACACCTATGTGATAACAGTCTGAGGTGTGTACTCTAACAGAAACAGAGGGAGTGTTGTGATCAATAATGGTGGGGACTCTACTTTAATAAAGGTAATCAAAGAATTCCCTCAAGAAGTGGCATGGTGATATTTTTGCTGAGAACTGAAGGAAGAAGGAGCCAGCCTCATGCAATCATTGGGGCTAGGGTATTACTGTGTCCAAAGGCCAGAGCAGTTGGGTTTAAGTACAGCAAGGCCAGAGTGAAGTTGAATAAAGTGAGGGGGGAGGGGCGGGGGAAGATGCAGCAGGAGAAGCCAGCAGGGCCTGTAGATGATATAAGAAATTCTGGGGCTTTGAGTTAAACTCAAAGAGATTAAGGAGAGAAGAGTAAAAAGTTCTGATCTCTGTGTTCTTTTCAGTTCCCAGCAGATGATTGGAGAACAGACTATGGAGGCGAGGGACTCAGGGCAGATGAATCTAAGGGGAGCAGAGTCCAGGGGTTCAGGGTATAGTCCTCCCCATATACTGCCTCCATCCCCAGCTGGCAAAGCTGAGGTTTCCCTGATCCTTGAGGAGGGCTGCGGTCTCCTGGGCTCTTGGTCTTCTTGTAAATACTGATGAGCTCCAGGCTGATCCAGCAGGTAAGAACCAGAAGCAGAGAATTAAAAGAGAGGAAGGAGAAAGGTGACAGACAAGTGCTAGAGCAGAGAAGAGAGAAAGGGCCATCCAGAAAAGGAAAGTCCAGGAGAAAAATCTGGTAAAGAGAAGAAGCAACCAAAAGATCAGACATTATTTGCAGAGGACTCTTGCGGGAATCTCATTTTTGGATATGAAACCAAAGCTCAGACAGTAAGTCTCTTGCCCAGTCATACAACTAGTTAACATTGGGCCCAGGATTCAAACCTCGAGCTAACTGATTCTACATCCCTCTGCTCTTTGGGCAGGAAAGACTACAAGGCAGAAACTATGAGGAAGAAAGAGAACACAGGCATTAGGTAGACAGATGAAAGAGAACATTCTGCATCACTTGAAAAAGACCACAGACTCCTGTGATCCTTGAGAAAAGAGAGACGGGAGAAGGAAAGTCCTGGCCTGGAGTGACTGACCCAAATCTAGGAAAAGGAGACAGCTCCACAGACAGGGCCAGGCCACCAGGAGATTCAGTTTCTCTCAACTCATGGAATATGTATGACACCTATCCTGGGCCAGGCCCCATATTGGGTGCTGGCGTCAGGGAGACACACAAACATGCTCCACCCTTGCCCGAAGGGAGAGAGCACATCAATAAATAATAGCCTGGTCCCAGTGGCCGTAAAGCCAGCCCAGAGAAGACACAAAGGCAGCAAAGGAGTTCAGGAAACACCAAAGCAATGATACAGGCACCTGAAGCCCCACCCCACCCCCACCCCACCCCCGTAGGCAAGGCAGGGAAGAACACATCAGGCAGGAGCAGCTGCTAGAATAAAGACATGACGCGTGATGCTGGGAAAGGTGAGTTTCAGATGCTGTGGGAGCATAAGCTGTGAGGTCCAACCACAGGTGATAAAGACAGTGTGGGGGTCAGAAGATGCAAGAGGCAAAGATCTTGAATGCAAAAGCAGGATAATTGGTCTTGAACTGCTCAATCAATGATTCTCAAACTATGCCTCCGGGGAGAACTTAAGTATTCCTGAAGCCAAACTGAGGAGTTCTGTCACTGAATGAAAACCACGGTCATATTTTTCTAATTGGCAAGACAGCAGCTTCATTACAGTGAAGAGTTTTCTGGTGTTTTTTCCCGCATACGCTTTTTCATACCTGTGAGGCATGTCATCAGTATGAGAAAATGATAGGGCATAGAATCATAGTTTTGCTTACCCTTTTAGGTTTAATGTAAATTTAAGCTTGTATTATTTCACAGCCTTCTACAAAGAACTTTGTTTTCCAGTTCTCTAGAAATATCAGGGAGTCATGGAAGGACTTTAGGCAAGGGGAAAGCAAAATCTGATCTTTGTGTTTTAAAATAAAAATCATTCTGGACAGCTGAGAGGAAGGAATTGGGGAAGGAGAGAGGAAAGATCTTGGTTAGGCTGTTGATACAGAGGTGATCTGAACTGAAAGTGAGGACTATCAGAATGGTTGGGGGGACTAAATCTCACCCCTCAGGAGGAAGATCTGCTGATGATTCCCCAGGCCTCCTGGCCAGGCTGCCCAGGGAATTCAGAGGAGTCAATTTGGCAGAGAAGATAATGTCAACAGCTCAATGTCACCTAGGAAGTCTCCCAGCAGAGGATTACTTTGTATCTCCCTACATAAGGGGGCTCCTGTGTGACCATGAAAATAGGAAGTAGGATAAGGTATCATTCCTGTGTGCAAGTGTGAGTGTGTGTGCACACACATATGTGCTCACACACAGAGGTAGAACCAAGTTTAACCCTCACCATGGGACACCAATTTTCTCTGATAAACACAAGTGCAAATGCTTTTTCAGCATATGCTATGAGCCAGACCTTTTCCATTTAATCTTCACAGTAATTTCCAATAACATTTATCAAATGCTTTCAAGAGCCAAGCATTGTGCTATAGTGTTTCAATTGAGTAATATCTCACCTTGAAACTATTATCTCCTTCATTTTAAGGATAAGAAACAAGCAACACAGAGAGGTCAATGACTTGTCCAAAAATCAAATGGCTGGAAAATGGAGTCAAAGCCAGGTTTGCCAGAATCCAGTACTTCACCCTTTATCCCAGCACTTTGCTTTCTTCTCTTCCTCAGAGCAAAGACTGTGAGGCAAGCTTTGGGTCTATAAAGCCCAGAGAAAGAACTCATCCTTATCCTGAAAAGCCCTGGCTCAATGTTTCTCAAAGCCTATTCCTTGGGCCACCTGCATTAGAATATTCTTGAGAGCGTGTGAGAAATGTAGGCTCTGGACCCCTTCCCAAGATTCTAATTCAGTAAATCTGAGATGGGAGCTCTGGTGATTTTTATGCACACTGAATACTTTGAGTCACAGGACTAGATCCAATAGCACGTCCTCCAGTAGCCCCCACCCCACCCCCATCCCAGAGCACCTCTCTCCTCCAGACTCCAAAATTGCTCTCATGCTCTACCTCCAAATGGGGCTCTGGACTGCTAGTTATAGTTGTTTTCTCCCGTCCACTAAAAATAGATTTAACTTGTCTTCTGGGCTACATCTTTTCACAAAGCACTTCCCCTGTGCTTGTTCTACTCAGTCACCTTCTGTGAGCATTTGAGGGGGCTCTCCTTGTGACCCTCTTATATCTGAAAACACTGGTTTTTTACACTGTGTTCTCCCACCCACAGTAAATGTATTCTACTGTTTCATCCAATCCTTACAATAATTTTAAAGGAGGTATATTATCACCATTGTACCAATGAGATAAGACTGGTTCAGTCACTTGCCTAAGGCAAGCCAGGAAGTGGCAAGGCTAGAATCTGATTCTAAATCTTGCAAAAGATTTCTAAATCCACCCCCAGTACCTTTGCTTCCACACCATCTACATTTTCTGTAGAGGGACGTTAAATCCAGCCTTCCTCTGCTATTAGAGGATGGTGGGTGTTGAATGTTTATGCCTTAAAAGGCTTGGCACCCCTAAGCTGGCGGTAAATGGTAAGAAGGAGACACGGAGGCCAGGATAGGGTTAACGACTTCCCCCAAATCAAACACCAACCGCAGATTTTAGGCACGGCTGAAATCAGTCCCAGACGCTTCTTTTTGGGAATAAACTTTGGCGGGCCTCGAATTCCGGCAACTGCAAGTCCCTCCCACGGCCATGCTTTGCTCCAGGCTAGGCTCACCCTCTCGGGCTGCCGAGGCGCAGGAACCAAGGAAACAGCCCTTTGAAAGGAGCAAGGGGCGTGGCCACGCCCAGGGGCGGGGCGGGGCGCGGGCGCGCGGCGCGGGCCGATGACGTACACTCGGCGTCAGACTTTGAGTTGACTGGAGGGAGCATGTGGGTCGGCCGGGCGTTGTGGGGGCTGCGAGCCCCAGCCCAGCTGCGACCCGGGCTGCTCCCGACTTCTGGCCGCCGCGGGTCTGGCTTCGCCAACTACTCCGCTTCTGCAGAGCCCTCCCGGGTACAGGCGCTGGTCTATGGGCACCACGGAGACCCAGCCAAGGTCGTCGAGTAAGAGACGGCGCCGAAATGGGGAAGGGGACTGGGGAGCCTGGAGGGCTTAACTTGGGCTATGGAGAAGGTTGGAGAAGGGAGATGCAGACTCCGAGGTAGAAAGCGAAGAACGAGACCGAAACTGAAGCCCAGGGCGCTCTTGGTAGCTCAGAAAGTCGGCGCTTCGAGATATTTGAAAACCCGAGGTACCGTTACAATGCTAACAGTGGCTGACATTAATTGATCGAGTGCAGTGTCAGGCATTCCTTTACTTAAGAGCATGCTCCCATTTAATCATTCCATTTAATCATTCCAACAACCTTTTGAGGTAGTACTTGATTTAATGCCATTTTGCCGATGAGAAACTAAGGGGTGAGAAATAAAATCATCTCCAAGGTCACAAGCCTGGATCTGAGTCCAAGTCTGACGGGCCGGCTACTAGTCTCTTCTGCTCTATCATTTTTTAGAGAGACTTTAAAGAATATTTTTACCATTACACGGATCTTCATTTCTCAGTGAAGTAGGTCAGTGATGATCATTGTTTACATTTTAGAGAAGTGAAGGGATTTGTCCAAAGTAAGGTAGTTAACAAGTTATTGGAATAGAGAATGGAATCTGTGGCTTCTGACCCTTTTCTTGACTCTCCTCTATAGGCATGCACCTTCAGCTAGTTTTGAACAGGCTCCTGTTGTGGAGCCGTATAAACCTAAAGTTATAGTATATAGGGGTCATGTCATTCAGCCCCTGTAAGCCGAATGGATCTTAAATCTGTGGTTTTTGCATGTGGCTAATAAAAACATATCTGACTTGTCAACCATTATGAATCTCCATATGAGTGATGACAGCCATTTGGAAGGCTAGAAGGGTCACGATAGTGGAGCTAAGACAGAAGCACTGGTCAGGGAATCAGAAACCCTAAAATTGAATCGCTTGCCCTACTCTATTTGGCAAGTGTCTGTGGTTCTCTAAGTCATGTTTTCATCATTTTTAAAAATGGAGACAATACAGTCATAGCTTATAGTGCTAATCAACTTAGATGTCAGTCTTACGCTCACCACCCGAAAGTACTGCATAACTCTCTTGCAGACCCTAGTTTACAGCTATTTCATTTCTAGCAAATGGGTTTGATTGTTTTCCAAAAGATAGGCAAACAATTATTTTCATGGTTAGAATTTTTCCAAAAAATAGGCAAACAATTATTTTCATGGTTAGAATTCAAAGTAGAGTGCGCGGTTTGACAGCCCATGTTCTAAAATTGAAATGGTTCAGAGGAGATTAGCATGGTCCCTGCACAAGAATAACACATCTATTTGTAAAGCATTCCACGTTTTTACTTAAAAAAGAAAAAACAGTAACAAGCTAGATATTTTGACAGCTAGAAGGGGTAAGCCTCAGATAAATTCAGGGTCACACACTCAGCCTCGACATATCTACCGTTAGAAGAAATGAATAAATTTTTGAGAGAACACATCAGTCAATAAATTCCAAATTGTATGTTGATCATAGATAATAAATTACCATGTCAGGAAGACATCTCCCTGAGGACTGTGCCTAAAACTGGTAAAGCTCTGATGAACCCTCCTTTTCCAGGAGTGCATCCCAAATCGGAACAATCTCTTGCTTCTTTCACGGGCTTGTAATTTATGTGTCTGGTGCAGGAGCCGCCACAAAACAGGTGCTTCAAAAGTGTTAGTTAAATCTGATTCTAATTTCAGTAAGAAAGACACCTTTTTAAGGTACGTGGTAATAAGGAAAGCATCTTCCATGTTCATGGACCCTGAGGAAAGGCGTAGGAAGGTTAGGCAGCTGAGTGTAGCCACTTCCTGGTTGATTCCCTCCTGTGGGAGAACCAGGGGAGCTGGAATAGTCTGGTTTGTTTACAGATGCCACTAAGGGAAAAAAAGAACAGCTTCTTTTGGCTCCCTCTGGAACCCTAGTAAACTTCCTAGGAGTTCAAAACATGATTCTCCCATGAATCATATTGAACTCTGCTCGCATCTCAGTCACTGTGTCACTTAACTAGGTATTCCCAGGTTCACCCCTGAGGTACTTTGTAGGTCTAGGATGGTCCTAAACATTATTTAAAAATCTCCTTATGACATCCAGGCCAGGGTTGAGAACAAGGAGCTAGTGCTGTGGGGATATGGGCTGGCAGACAGGCAGTAATTCTCCCTCTGCTACAGAAGGGCCCTGGGGGAAGCCTGGGAAGGTTCGGCAGCTGAGTATAGCTGACCCAGATTCAGGCAACCTGACTTGTTAGTATGGACTGAAGCCAGAGGCTGGGACTCTCTTCTTTGTAGTCATGTTTTAGAAGGTTTCTGTCACAGAAAGAATCAGGTGTCCTTTAAACATCACGGTGACTGGGTATGTAGGTCAGGTTACCCAAGGTAGGGTCATGGAACTACCCAGAGTCCCAGCAAAGGGCACCCAAACTGGCCTGGTGTTTGGCATTTGCACTGTGAGCCAGAGCTTTGCAGGTAAGAGGATGTGAACAAGGAACAGCCTGCATAAGACTGAGGAGTTGCAGAACTCCTCAAAATGAGGCCTCCAGGGATTGCCTATTACAGCATTCTGAATGTGTTTCTCCAAATGTTTTGGTTATTCTCTCCTAAGTTTTTTTCGTTGGTCTCTTAGGTGTTTCTCTGCCCCCAAAACAGACTTCCCTGAATAAGTACTTGGGCCTTTTTCATTTAAAGGATTAAACACCACATGTAAATGAAGTCAGGCTGTACAGGAGAAAAATGACAAACATGGGAGAATTACAGACATTGTAGAAATTTCAGAGGTTCCTGTGGCCACTGCCCTTTGTTCAGGATTCTCTATCCAGTATTTTCCATAAATGCTAAAGGCTTTCTCTTTCCTTTTGTTGCTGAAGGCCCCCTTTCAGAACTTTGACTCTTATGGTAAAAAGCTCTCATCTATTCTTTACCTAGTATGTGGCAAGCATTGGGCTAAGTGCTCAGTATCATGGAATTCAAAAATCACAATAACCCAGTTTGGTCATTGTTATCCCCATATTACAGATCGGGAAACTGATGCTCAAGAAACTTAAAAATCACTTGCCTAAAACCTAGGTTACAACTTGGATCCCTTCTTTATTAGAACTTCTTGATAATAGGCATCAAGCTGAAGATAAAATGACAGTTATCTTAAATGTTATTTGAGAATGAAATGGAGTATAAAATTGGGACTAAGATAGGTCAGGAGAGAAAACTGAAATTATAGGATTCAGCTGTCCCCAAATCTCTACTCTTCATAGAAAGGGAAGTACACAAGCTGGCTGGAATGTTACCCTCTGTCTCCTCCCCTGCTCAGGACCCTGAAGCTCTTCAAGGCTCTCTGACCCATCTACTGCTAGCATGAGATGAAACAAAACTGCAAACTCTTGGGCGCATACCCGCTCTGTCTCACCAGATGGAATTTGCTGGGTAGGACTCAGGCTGTGTAGGTCATAAGTTCTCACTGTGCGACATTGTTTACTCTCAAGGGAGTTCTTCCCATCACAGTTGATGGCAGGTTTAAAACCTAAACTATGCAGGTGACTTGGTTGTTGTTTTTTAAAGCTTTATTTATGCATACAGAACTGGGGTACAGGCCAGAGTTAGAGGGGCGTGAGAGGACTCACCAGAGACAGAGTGGGGAGCAGAACAGGCCGACTGACGAAGTACACTGCTGAGGGAACAGCGGGCGGGTCAGGAGAGGTCTGCCGCGCCATGTGGGTCAGCTCCCTGGGTGGGGGTCGAACTCGTGGATAGCTTCTTGGTGCTATGCTTTAACCTGTTGCTCTACCAGGGAGGGCCCTAACTTGGTTTTTAAGCCAGAATGCAGCAACCTCCAAGGAACCACACTGTGGCTAGAAATCTGGGGTTCTGGGACAAGATTTCACCCTGAATACCCTTTGCTCTTAGGAAGTTACACAATGCATACACAGCCCCCTTCCCTCCCAGCCTCCAGCCAGGCAGGGGCTACTGTCACCTCTGTACCCTCAGAGTCCAAAGCAGCTGCGGGCAGGGAGTCTGCCCCCTGCTGACTCCCCACAGAGACTAAACCACAGACTCTAACTTCCTTGGAACAAGTTTCCCCATGCCTGCAGATGTGGAGTATTACGGGGCTTGCAGGGGCTGACAGTCTTAGCTGAGAAAGAGGAAAGGACTGAGAAGGGAGGCATAGGGGAGGGTTTATTTGCTGACCACCTGGGCAGAAACTCCAGAAGTTGCCTCAGTCTCTGATTCCCTTTAGTTAAATACAAATGTGCTAAGGAGCAAAGAGCCCTGAATGGTGGAAGGGCAAGATTACTTCAAGGCAGAGAAGCTGAAAGAGGCATAGGTTGGGGGCAAGTAGGTGTGCCTGACACACCCAGAGATGTGACACGGAGGAGCTTTGCTTAGGAAAAGGAGCTTCCCTGGGTGCCCAGGATTCTAGAACTGCACCAATTGAGGCTGCCAACACCCCTGCTGGGGGACAAGCTGTTACAAGCTGTGAGTTGACGGACTTCATCTCCGCCCCCCCCCACCCCACGATCTCCCATTTGTGCTCTGTTTAATGATTATTAAGCCCAATCCCACAACAATGTACCCAGCATACCAGGCATTTCACTAAGTCACAGAACGTGACTTGTTTGTGACCATGGGGACTGCAGACAGTCTGGGGAGAGCCACGTAAGATGTTCCCTTCCCTAACTGCCCTACAGTGGGTCCTGGCTCTGTAAAGAGCAGATGAGAAAGTCCCTGTGCCCATTTCTTCCTGCTCAAAATGATATTGGGCAGCTTGAGGTGACTGAGTGGAAGATGCGAGATAAGTACAAATGGTTGCTAATTAAATGCAGAAGGTGGGGAAAAGATCTTAGTAGAACTGGCAAGTGCCCGCCTTACACAGCACATATAACTGAGCCAGTCCCCAGAGTACTGGCCTCTTTTTTCCCCTCTCAAAAGGCTCTTTCTTCTGCCTGCTTTTGTCTCCCTTGTAGTTCATATGGCATCACAGGTGTACAGCCTCGGCCTCAAAGGAGCCATTGTGAC